TGCGGAAAACGTCTGAATCTTGTCCCTCAGAGACTGCAGTTTGGAGAGCCAACTGGAAAGGATCTCCAGTGGTTATATAAGCATCACCTCCAGCCCAATAGGTGGTGCTGTTACACATATTTGTTCTTAACTAGGTTCCATGTTGTTTCTTGTGGTTGTTCTGCTTTCAAGGTCAAGTGGATGAATCATGTTTACATCAGAGGTCATTTCGGGGGGAACGCGGGGGAACGCAGGGGTGCAGGGGGCGGGGCACATGACGAAGCCCCGCACCCTGCTTCCGGCCGCCTCGCTTCCAGCCCTCATTCAGCCAGGAGAAGGCAGGAGAAGAGGGAGGGTAAGTTGCTTCCTCCCCGCCTCTCCCCACCCCTGCCTGCCTGGGGCAAGGGAGGGCCTTGGCGGGGCTTCCTCGCACTCCCTCTGGCCTTGCAGGTCCACCGCCGGGTCCCTGATGTCAGGGGGTGTGGCATATGCTAATGAGTTATGCTAATGAGTTCCCCTAGCTCTTTTTCTACGAAATGACCCCTGGTTTACATGCTTCGGCAGGGAAGGTGGGATATTAATTAATTAATTAATCTATGCCGAAGGCTGTAGTGTTGGATCACTGTAAACTTTTAATAAAGTTTATTATTCTTAAAAAGTGACACAATATGGCTTTGGAACAGATGCTGCTTTGAAAAAAGTGCCACTTGCATGGGCTTGTGCTTCTTACCTACCCAACCTACAAATCTAGATAAATAATTTATTCCAGTGCTTGCTTATCCAAACGGAAGTTGGCTAGTAAAGTTGCCATGGACTCTTTTCTGTTTGGAGAACATGAAAGCACAAAACAATCCATGTACTCTCTCATGCACAAGCACTGTCATAGATTAACAGGTGCAGACAGGTAGCCTAGGAATGTAAGCTTCTGACTTTAAAAAATGTATCGATGCCTGTTTCCAGATTTACTGGTTGGAACTGGTTTATGAAAATAAGAATACTGCCAAGCAAAAATATTGAAGACAGGAGTCCTTTGAGAAAACAGCAGCATTTTTTTAAAGATCCCAAATTACCTGACAACCCTTGTATTTTGTTTCTGCACCTCCACCATTTTCTCTTACAGTCCCTTGTACACCATCTGTGTCTAAGGACAAAAATGTTATTTTTATATTTGCTTGGCGAGTATCCATTGTGGTGGCAGCGTTAGGATGTCTGTAGAGCCAGAATTTCTCTGCTCTCTTCCAGTGTTTAGAAACATGATGTCTGCCAATGCACTCTGAAGGAGTCTGTCTCCATCTGCTTTAGAGAGCCAGTTAGCCCTGAAACATCTGGCAAACTTGACTGAATAATTGGACCAAGAAGAAAGCTTTGCAGTGCCAACAGCAACAGACATTGCTCTAAGGCCAGAAAGAGAGTGTCATTGACTATTGGGAGAGGAGAGGGGAAACGTCTCCTCACAGAGAGAGTCTGCTCATTTCTTTCTTCTGATTTTGAAAAACAAATGCAAAACAGAAAATGGGTGCAGGTGAGGTTGCCAGCCTCCAGACAGGTTGCACTCCACCAGTGTTCACTGTGAAAAATTGATTCAAGTCCAATTACAGTCCACAAATTTGCTTCTTCTTCTTTTGTTTCTTTATTTTACATCATGCAGTGCTGCTGCTTCTAACAATTGTCATGCGACTACAGATTTCCCATGTACACAGTCTGTTTCCCTCAATGCTTTGTCAGGTCGCTTTATACTTGGAGCCCATGCTCTACGTCTCCTACTCAGAATTAACCTTGTATTTTCTTGGCATCTGCTGGCTCTCATTGTGTACCTCGGAAATCTGTAGTCGCATGACAATTGTTAGAAGCAGCAGCACTGCATGATGTAAAATAAAGAAACAAAAGAAGAAGAAGCAAATTTGTGGACTGTAATTGGACTTGAATCAATTTTTCACAGTGAACACTGGTGGAGTGCAACCTTGGTTGAGTCACTGTGGTCTGTTTGTGGCTGGAGCCTCCAGATGGGGACTAGAGTACTCCCAAAATAACAACTAATCTCCAGATTAGTTCCCCTGGAGGAAATGGCAGTGTTGTAAGGTAGACTCTATGACATAATATTCAGGTCCCTCCCAATTCCACCCTCCCTAATCACCACCCCCAAATCTCCAAAAAATTCCCAAGCTGGAGTTGGTAACCCTAGATGCAAATCATGAGAGATTAAAAAAAACACCAAAACCATCTGATACAGTCTTAGGGAGCATTGGAGGGAGGAGATTGTGGAAACTGGAGATGTATGATGCCATAATGTCACTTCCAGTTGCATACCTGGAAGTGATGTCATGACGTGAGTGGTATTCTATGAATTTCCTGGTTCTTTATGGTTTTTATTATAGAGATCTGGGTATGCATCCAGAAGTGATGTTACAGCGTCATGCAGCGCCAGTTTCTTCACCATTCCCCACCCACAGAACATGGGTGCAGGAGGTTTGAAGACTTTTAGTAGGGTTCATGAATCATACAACACACAGATTTCTTTAAAGCTGCAGATCAGCTCTGTCTGTCTCTCTCTCTGTTCCAAGACTGTCCCTGTTCATCTGACAGGCTGTCTCTCAGCAGCATTTTTATTAACCGAAAGAAAAGCAAGCTCATTCATTTGTACATTTGTTACAACAGAGCAAAAGACTTTGTAAGCTAGAAAATACAGTGTAGTTCACAGAATGTTCCTTTACAGGCAAGATAATCTTTGAATGTTGCAAAAGCTTGTATGCTCTCAGTAATTCATTGTTATAAGAGGAATTTAGCAGTCTCATGCAAATTCAGAAAACCTTGTTTCCTGCTTGCCAATTCTCCCGGCAGAGTGTCTCTGTGGGAATGTAAACTGTGAACTAGGAAGCCTGAACTTTGACCTTGGGCTTTCCTCTAAGGTTTTCTGTTCAGACCTACAGAGGTTCCCTGTCATGGTAAATAAGAACATAAGAGAAGCCTTGCTGGATCAGGCCAGGCCCACCCAGTCCAACATTCTGTGTCACACAGTGGCCAAAACCCAGGTGTCATCATAGACTTCCCAAGTCCCCCCGGGGGGCAGGGAAACCCCCACCCCAGAGGCCCGTTCCCCGCCCCCGCCGGATCGGGCCCCAGGGGGAACCCCACCCCAACGTGCGCGTCACCCGGAAGTGACGCGACCATGCCGGGCACGCTAACAAAGAGACCTGTGGAATTAAATAGTGTGAACAGAGCCTTAACTAGCCACACAAAGAATCTTCTGGCACTTTAAAGACCAGCTAATATATTGTGGCACAGCTTTTGGGAGCCTTCATAGAAAAAGTAGGCTTGTGGGGCAGGATCAGGAGTGGTTTCGAAGAAGGTGCTATAAGTAAGCAGGGCCCAAGCATAATTTCTCTGGCACCAATACAAATTTGAAATATGTCCCCATCCATACAATTTCATAAATCATTGCAAAAGTTAAACCAAAGCATAGTGAATGAGCTTGCAGCCCAGACTGGGCTTCAGTGGATTCTTGTAAACTGTACCAATTCCCCCCTCTTGTGTTGGGTCTTGCAAGTAAAGACTGGCACCTCTCCCTCCCTCTCTCCTTCTCCCTCTCTCTCCACCACACAAATTGTCGTTAAACTCTTCCTTGAAGGAGCTGAAGGTAATGGTTCTTTGGTGATCCATTTTATTGTTACAACAGTGCCATGAGATAGGTTAGGCTGAGACAGTGTGACTGTCCAAGAGTAGCCCAGTGAGCTTTGAGGATGAGCAGGGATTAGAACCCAGTTCTCCCTAGTCCTAGCCCTAGTCCAGCATCCTTATCATTACACTGACTCTCATCCATTAACAGGAATGGAGACCAACAAGCTGGGTGGAAATATGGCTGAAGTGTTTTAAACTCCACTGAGAACAGTGCAGAAAAAAACACACCAAATTTCAACTCAGGAAAACAAAGCTAACAAAGGGGGGGAAAACTACATTTTTTTTTAGCATGGAAGCTAGGTCAAGTCCACCTGAGCTTTAAGAAGAGGAGGAGGAGATTGGATTTATACCCCGCCCTTCACTCAGAGTCTCAGAGCAGCTTACAAACTCCTTTCCCTTCCCCTCCCCGCAGCAGACACCATGTGAGGTAGGTGGGGCTGAGAGAGCTCTTTCAAGAACTGCCCTTTCAAGGACAGCTCTGACAGAACTATGGGTTGCCCAAGGTCACCCAACAGCTGCAAGTGGAGGAGTGGGGAATCAAACCCAGTTCTCCCAGATTAGAGTCCATGCACTTAACCACTACACCAAACTGGCTCTGTAATCTGACATGGGCATTTGCCATTGCTGCATATATATATACATGCGATACTGGAAAGGTTAAGTTATCAAAGGTCCTGGTCACACGAGCGGGATACTGCGCCGCTGAAGGGAGGCAAATTAGAGCCAGAGCAAAAAGAACCACGGTAGCGCGATCCGACGCGCCCCCGTGGCTTCATGCTCTGGCCTTTGGCAGGCGATCAAACGTAACATGGCAAAACAGACGTTGCGCGTTTGTGCGCATGTGTGGGACAGGGAACGGTGCTGGCTGTGATGGGCTGCCAGCGCTTCCCAGATCAGACGCCTGGAGTTGCCATGCGTCATCCAGAAGGTAGTGCTTTGTTGCCGGTACCTTTTCAATGGGCGTTTTCGGGCCAAAGGGACGGATCGGGGATGGGCACGTGACACTTCCCAGATGTTGCGGTATGGTTGCGCCCGTTTGATGTGCCCTCAACCCGTCTGTTTCGCAGGGCAAATCCTCCCATGTGACCGGGGCCAAAAAGCCTCATGCGGTATATCTAATATCTTAACAACTACAGACTCATTATGAATTGTCTACTGACCATGACTATTGTTTTTAAACAACGTAGGTTGAAAATTAATACAAACAGGCTTCTTTCCTGTTAATTACAGCTTTTATTTTCCTCCCCCCCCAGCACCATTCAAAACCGCTACAAAATACTCATTTTGGTCAAAGACTCATCTTTTTGACCATACAGAATATTTACAAAGAACAAAACAGTGCATTTTTAGCTGCAACAGCTGCACTTATTCGACAGAGGCTCTTTGCAGACACAGCCCTTGGCACAGTTGGTGCAGCCAGCCAGGCAACAGAAACAGCAGCTTTTTTGGCAGGAAGTACATTTGCAATTTTTACATTTGCAGGAACCAGCACAGGTACAAGAACCACCAGTAGTGCATGGGCAGTCCTGAGGATCCATCAGTCTTAGAGGCTGTTTTGCAGTCACCGCTGGCAGCTTACAGGAGAAGAGCGGAGCAATCAGCTGTTGTTTAAGTGGTCAATTTTTCCCTAGTGGTGGATTTCTAAAGTGTGGAGGTCTGCAGTGGAAGTTAAAGAAAGAAACACAATTTTTGCCATTAATGATCTAGCCTGGAACTCAGGACTTTCAATGTGGGAGAATAATCACTCTGCATCGTAGCTGCTCTTTGTGAGTATTCAGTCTTTTATAGCTCTCTCATGCAATATAGTACATGCTAAACTATAGAAAAATGTCTTTGTGCTGAGACTAATAACCAATTTAAAAATGTGTGTGTTGTGTGTAAAGTGCCATCAAGTTGCTTCTGACTCATGGCGACCCTATGAATCAATGTCCTCTGAAATGTCTTGCTCAGGTCTTGCAAAAAATGTACTGTGGACAAAACGAAATGGTGAGAAGGAAGAGAAGGAAGAGAAGAAAGGGAGGCATGTGCCCTGAATCAATCTGAAAAGATGAGGGTGAGAAGGAAGGGGATAAGAGAACGTACAGGCTTTTCATGTTCGGTAAAAACCCATTGCAACATCTTGCAGAGTAAGAATAAAGTCCCATGATATAAGTGGTGGGCCACAGTCACAGCCTTTGTATATCTGACCTGCCTAAATACATGGTGTTATTTTAAGCAAGGGCAGTCAAGCATTGACTGGATGCCCTTCCCTCTCTCCCCCCCTCTCCCCCCACCCCATT